TCGAGTAAGATTCTTGTGTGATATCTACTACAGGCCATATCTGGTCCCATTTCACTTTGATTACCCTGTCAAACAGGTCAGCATTCGCCCCTGAACAAGGCTACAAGCAAACAGACAAATAAACAAACAAGCATCAATACGGAGATATAGCAAAGCAAAACGTACGCCATTGACTAAAAGGATTTAATATTGAAATAGCAACGTTAAAGTGTAAGAGGGTGGGTGGGGGGAAAACAAAGGTTTTGCTTAGATCGAGTTACAAATCATGTAATAAATTTCGGTGCACTATTGACTTATGACGTGTTGGCTTCAGAACAGTAGGACTACACCAAGGAGTTTAGAATTGTAAACTCCTTGGCCTACACCTAGGCCTACGTCCATGCGAGGGGCTTGAGGTGAAGGATGACGCCTAGATCTACCCATTGCCCTTCCGCCCAGGCTATCTTAGATCAGACCGCGAAATACGTACAGATGGCTCTACCATTGAAGGCCGGTTACATTTGCAGTGAGTCTGAGTGAGGTGGACAACGATCAATGTGAAAAGCAGCGATAAACAAATGAGCTAAAAGAGCTTTCTCATTGTGTAGATCCGGTATTGTATAGTGTGTTATTTGTGTGTTATATAGTCTAAAAGAGTGGTCAGTTTCTCAGTCTCTTACATTGCTATCATTGCGCTTGGATGTGCATGAATATATTTTCGTTTGGGTTTATCATTTCTACACTTCTCTCATTTCAAGGATGGCGTTGTGCTTATATTATTTGAGTGTTTTATGGTGTTGATCAAGATTTTAGTTTTATTTCATCTGAAAGTGGCTATGAAAAAGTTTTCAGCTGGAAAACACGTAGATCTATTTTCAGTTTCAGTGCGACGCACCTAGAGTGCGAGCTGCATGAGAAGAAAGCATGGCATGCGAGAATGTAAAAGTGGCTAGCCAAAAAAGAAGACTGTGGACTCCAACTCCTTACTAAAATAAAAATAAAAACAAAACTAAACAAAATGAAAGCCAACAGTTCTGAATAAAATGACCTATAATTTATGGGGCCTGGCGTTTAAAGATAAACCAAGAACCCCCCCCCCCCCCCCCCTCCGGCCCCATCATCTCTCAAATTTGTCTTATTCTGTCTCTTTCCAAATTATCCTTCCCCATTTCCCCTCTAATCATTTATGACCGCCTCCCCTGAAACAACAACAGCAGCATTAAACAAAACAGACTTTAAAAACCCCCACACACAATAAAACAAAAGCAAAACAGAGGAAACACCACAATGATCTGAAACAGACATCGACGATCACGGATTTCCATTCAATTTCTACGTTCAGATTTTATGTTCTCAGAAATCCCATAGTCATAGGTTACATGTAAGACTAGAATAAATTAGAGATATTATTATAATTATATTATATAAAATATGAACGTGTATACCAAGACGGTTGCTTGTCAAGGCTATAAAAGAAGAACCACTTTGGCTATCAACACGAACAGAGTGGATTCAGAGCGAAAATGTATTTTTAGCAATGTTTTCTATTTTTAGGCAGATGACGTTCAGCTTCCGGTTGTGTCGATTGCACCACAGTGGGGAAAAGAATGATAGGATAGAGGGTCACGTCATAAAACTGAAAGTGGAAGTTCGGATACACGTAATCATTCTTGGACACTGAAGTTAGCCGTGGAAATAAATTTACTGACTGACAAGAAACGCCGAGGAATTCAGAGCCTTGTAGGGTATTATTTTATCGTGTGTACTATTTAAGTTTAGAGAGCAGAGTATCTTGAATCTTGACTTGAAAAATGTCGACTGGAAAAGTGGAACGTTCTGAAAGTGTTGACATCGCCTGTCCTGTGTGCCACGACCCATACGAAGTTTTTGCCATTGGTCCTTGTGATCATCCTGTTTGTTACCGATGCTCAACGAGAATGAGAGTTTTATGCGAACAGAATGACTGCCCTATTTGCCGCAGTTTGATGCCCCAGGTAACCTTTCCAACTTTTATTAACTTAAATTTTTTTTTTATTTAACGAAGTCGAAGTGGCTCTGTCCTACGTTGACCGTGCCGTAGATGTACGCATAGATCTAGATTCTAGATAGCTGTCTCTAGATCTAGATCTATCTAGATCTAGATGTCTAGATCTAGAATCTAGATCTAGATTCTAGATCTATGTCTAGCCTTGTGGCTATCTATTCTATGCCTACCCTACAGCCCTCCTGTGCGCATAGATTAGCATCGAGGCTATGTGTACGGCCCTCCACTTCACATAATTAAGCTAAGCTTTGGAGGCATCACTTAAACTATCAAACCGGACACTACAAGAAGCAGCTCGCTTGTGAAACAGTCGGTGCGCAGTTCTTTAGATACCCAGCTGTTTATTATATTAGATCAACACTAGATCTAGATCTAAATCTAGATCTGTAGACTGTAGAGAGGATTTCCCCAGAGGGTAGGCACTTATCGTGACAAGGTCCATTGAGCAAACTATAGGCTACAAGATGTAACAAGAGTTAGAGGGTTAGGGTACGCCCCCTTGAAATATGCCGTCTTTTGTGTGTTGTTGGTCGGCGGGCCCTCTGCGGAACTCCTTCACGATCTTTAGGAGGCCTATTCCTAATTTGCAATCATTGACTCATCTCAAAAGTCTGAATTCTCTTAAGTTTACTGATCCTTTACATATGAGCAGTGAAGAATGCATGCCAGCTATTTTTTCCCCTTTGTTTAGAGGTAGGAGAAAGTATCTATTGGGTCAAAATTAATGTGGTAAGTGAATTGATTCAGCACCGCTGTACCAACGTCAAAATCATTTCAAGTTCCCCTTTTTGTTTTTATTTCATAAACCCATTCTGTATAATAGCCATAACGGTCCAATTTCTTAGTCTCATCTCAGTTGACGAAACCCACCCGCCACCCGCTGTAAGGCTATACTAAAAGACACTTGCACAACTCTATCATGTACAGAATTTACCCATGGTTCTTTTGATGCTGGTTTAGTTGAAGGTTTACTGCGCTACAGCGGTCTACCGTCAGTCAGACTTGTCTACTATATGGTCTTCTGCGATCTAGGCATAGTGTAAGTTCAGTCAGATTTGCCACGGTAATCATCTGGTAATGACAACACTGGGGGCATATAATTAGACAAAAAAAGCGGTGGCATCAACAATTGCAGTCTGTGGATAGGTGGATTGCCTTTTTATTTTGTGGTGTCATTTGATAGACGCTGGGGTAAAGGTAATTTGTTTAGTGATGAGTTGCTACAGCAAGTGATCAGTCAGGGACTATTTTCAAGAAACTACGTGGGGCTCCTCCACCCAACGAGCTACAGCTTTGGTGTGTGAGTTGGCAGATTGCTTTATTTTGCGATGTCGTTTCGTCAAAGAATTTGGAAGTGGTAAAGTGTGTATGGGTAACAAGTAAGTTGCAACTCCTGCAAATGATAGAGGGAACTATTTTCAGCATCAAGTTGGACAGCGGGGCTGATGATAGAACGGGATAGCACCTAGAGACAAATTGTGGCCAGTCTTGACTCATCTAGATCCATCTTGCGCGATAGCCATGTGAAGGGGAAAAATGAGTAGCAACCAATTTCGGTTACAAGCTTAAGCTGAACTTTAAGTGAATTCAGGTCAAAGGTTCTGCTAGGAGGCTATTATGTGTCAAGGACCCTGTAGACATACTTTTAAAAAAACCTGATACTCATCAGTCTTCGAGTCACTTCAGACCTTTCAAATATTGATTGTGAGTCCTCACAATACAGTCTTCACAAAAAGTTAAGGACCACTTGGAAAAGCGTAGGAAAATATTAATAAAAACCAGTAAATCAAATTATTCCTTCTTTGAGATACATTTAATTCATCAATCAATAAGTGCAAAAAAGAAATTTCATCACAATCGAAACCGAAATGCATAATTCCCAGCGCTCAAAAGGGACCCACCCTCAAAATAAAAAATCACAAAAGAAAGGGTCTCAAAAAGTCTCAGCAATATCAAAGAAAATGACCAGTTTGTTTGTGAATGTCAATGGAATTGTCAGTCTAAGCATGTGTGCCCACCATTCACGGCAAGGCAGTCAAGGCACTGCTGGCGCATAGAGCTAATCAGGCGTGCCAGAAAGGCCTGGGGAATGTTGTTTCATTTTTGTTGCAGCCATCCAAGCAGCTGCTGTCGGTTGGTGGGCAAAGAGTGGTTCTCCTGAACTCTCCGACCAAGCTCAGCCCACAACTGTTTCAATAGGATTGAGGTCTGGACTGTTAGCTGATGCCTTCACTGCTTTTGGACCAAGAGATTCTTTATATATCTCATGGCTTCTGTAGCTGCACTTCTTTCAGGCCAGGCAAATCAAGAGTCTCAACGTTGTCAAATACTTCTGAAGCTTCTAGTTGACTGCACAAAATGGTTGACACAATATGACTTGAAGGTCCATCCTCAAATTCTGATCCAGTCCCTCAGAGAAATGCCTTGACGCCTCTAGAAAAGACACACCATGAGAGTCAAAAGTTGCAAGGGCTACAAAACAGCTTGCCCCCATTTACGTGCGTCTACCCAGTGAACTCGGCATGCCGTTGGTGTGTTGTTACATGTCAACCAGATTGGCTCTTCATAAATGTTTCCATTGTTATTGCAGTCACGCTTGAGCGATCACGCCAGAAAGAAAATTACGAAAAACAAGACGCTACAGTTGCTACGGCTAACGCTGCAACTGTGTACCACACAGCGCACCGGCAGTGGAATTTTAGTTGTCGGGGGGGGGGTTCCCTGCCGGGCGCCTTATCACGTCGGGGTCACGGGGGTCAGCCTCCTGTCGCCACTCTGTCTGGGCCGACTTAATTTTTGGTACTTTTCAACGTACAATTTTAGGTGTATCCTTGTATTTATGGTATTCTCATATAGTGCACCCAAAGCACGCATTTCTGCTCTTGAGACTAAAAAAAGAACGGACGTTGTAACTTGTCTGGTTATTTCGTTAGACGAGCTGGAGTCGGCAATGCTAAATTGTAATTTTTTGGGGACTAGCGTGAATGAAAAAAAATCAATATAAAAAAATGGCCTCGTCAAAATCTGACGAACTTTTGGAACATGAACGACATAAGATTGGTGCAGATACTCAGAAAATATGGTATCTGCACATGTAATAGAAGGCTGTAATTTTGCAATTTTATCCATTGGGCACACAATTCGCTATGAAGTAATTCCTCCAAATACAACTTTATGTGTCTAATATAATCGTGAATATTCGCACATTTTCTCAAAAGTTTATAAAAGTTACCATGAAATTTCTCTATGAAAAGTATAAATCGATTTTAGTGCTAGAATACATCTTCAACGTAGATCTAATACACGAACAGCATCTGTTACACTCTAGAAATTCCTTACTTTTCTTAAAACACTAAGCCTAGGTTTTGTAAGTTGACTGAATAATAGGGATGACTTCTCGTAATTGGGTTAAAAGAATAATTTCTAGCTTTCCAGGGACACTGAATCAGCACCAGACTTTTCTAGCTTTTTTTTCGTTTCTATGACCATTTGCAATAACTGACAATGTGACTGATTTCTTTATATTAATAATTGTGTCCGCATATTTCCTACACAAAAACTAAAAATGAATGTTTTAGCTGTCATTATTTTTATTCCATACTAGAAGTTTATCTCTACCCATGTATTTACACGTTTGTGTTTTTTAAAATCGCTTATATTATATCTTTTTAGTTGTATGCAATGCAGGCTGCCTCAGACACAGCATGATTCATGAACAAACACACAGTAACTTTCTCCTGTTTAATAGTAAAATAAGAGCTAACGCTGATCGTCTTTAGTTAAAAAATGCAGATTTTCATCTTTCTTCTCTTATAACTTGACTATTACTACTCGCGCAGATTTAAGATTTCTCATGGTAAAAGACATGATATTCGTAGTCAGTTTAACACAGATTTTGGAGAGATCTGTCGAGCCTTTTTTAAATTAACAATCATTTATTCATAAGTTTGTAACTAAAATAGAACAAATTGGGTACTCTACAAACACTTTTCTAGAACAAAAACTAAGGCACAGAAATTAACCATTCTAACGCAGAATAAATCTCAAGACATTGAGCTTTTAGTACATCCGCGTAATGGTTTGCTATGTGGGATGGGGAAGAAGTTATATCGTTTTAAACATAGTCAAAAATGCGAACTTCCTGACCGACACCGGCAAAGTCGCTTCAGGGCTCATTAACCCCGTGACCCCGAGCCGGGGAGCTCCGGCGGGCTGCTGAGTCACGCTAACTAAAAGTAACAGAATCGGGCGAAAAGTGACGCCGTGACCAGTGTCAGCGGTAAAAATAATAGCATAAAAATAGGATTAGAATAGAGATCTAGACTGTGAATGAAGTTCAGAACGAAGGGAAACCAATCTGGCAGACTTCCAAGGGCCTGATGTGAAATTTGAGTTAGAGAATAGCTCAAAAGAAGGAAAATATTTCTGAAAAATTTGCGGTAATTTGCGTTAGCTTCGAAATTCGCGGCCGCGAAAAACCGCGATGATAGAATAATGATAGTATTTTCACACAGTGCAAATCAGGAGCAAATCGGGGACAAATAGGCTTACTAAAAATAGGCTGAACTCGCAGAGACGTGTGTAGGAAAGAGATTATCAAGAAGCCACCAAGTGAGTGCCATGCACCGTGTTTTGTGTGTACCTCTGACAGCTAATTTGCTGGCGGTACAGTGGGGCAAATTTACATCAGTTTAACAAGGGGCGTACAATTTGAAGACAATTGGTGGATGGTGGTATAAAGGTGCAAGTTAATGTTAAGGCGTTCCTTTTCGTACATTGGCAAAACCTGGTGGTAAGGGGGGCTGGTTGGGTGGGGGTAGGGGGTATAGTGAAGTTTGTCTGTAGCAAATGACAGTCCCAAGCCAATATTTATAAGCAAAGGTAAAAATGTAATGTGATCCTTGTCACAAGTCCCAAGCCTGTATAAACTTCAACTAGTCCAGCAGCAGGCTGTCAACGAAACCAGAAACATAACAGTAGACCTTCAACTAAACTGTTGCCTTTCTTTCTTTATTCTGATTGGCAGAAATTATTCTTCCTGGAGCCGATCAGGGGAATGTACTTGTGTATAATTTTCATTGAATAAACAGCGTTGATCGAACAGGGCTGCTGAAAATCAGCTATCAGCTGCAGTTAGCAAAAAATTGGCCTTCGACTGGTACTGAAATTAGAACTGAAACTAGAAGCATGGTTTGAACATGACACAGGTTATAATTGGATCTGAAAGTACAGAAAGCCTGTTTTTTAAATTTTTCTTTTCTCGTTGCTGACAGCTTTCTCATCCTAAATTCAGCCAGTATGTTCGTAGGCATACAAAGTGTTATAATGATATTGGAATGATGATGATGTTTGTTTGCTTCAGATTTGAATGTTTTTGCTTTAACGTTCTAAAGATACAAGATTGAATATCACTGAACTTGACCCTCAGTGTGATTAAACACACATAATTATCACATGGTGAAATCAGGTGCTCATCAATTTTTGGATATATAACAGTACAGAGTTATTTACTTTATGTCAACCTGTAGATTGTTCAGTTGTCTTGCTTTTGATGAACACCCCCCCCCCCTTTCTATTTTGAATAGAAACTTTAATTTATAATAGTAGTAGGTTGTCCGTCAATGTCTGATGATGATCAATGCATTCGCGGAAGAGAATGTTTCTCCAGCAACATAGAAAAAGTAGAAGACAAGAATTAAAGATTAAGATGACTTGTGAGTTCTGCTGTGGCCGATGAGCCCAGCTCTGGCAGAGAAAAGTTTGCCACATTTTGAACATTTAAAAGTTACTCTTGCACTTGTGGATGTATGCAGCTTGCGGGCTTCTCTCTTAGTTTCAGCATTTCTTATTTGTGAAGCCTCATATGATTTGCTGCCCTCTGTAACTGCTGCTTTCCAGCTGGGTCTGTCAGGAGCTAGTCTCTCCCATATTGAAGTCCTTCAGAGACATTTTCAGGGTACTTTTTTTTGGTGTGCCAACCTTGCTCTTCCCTAAGGACGGTTCAGAATAAAATGCTGCGTTTGAGATTCTGAGGTCAGGCATTCTTACAACATGGCCAGCCCAGCAAGTTGAGTCCTTGTGAGCTTAGAAAAGAGACTCTCTGCATTTACCCTTTTCAGAACTTTGATGTCTGGTATTTTATCGTGTAATGTCAAAAATTCTCCCACGGCATTTCATATGAAAATAATTAAACTTCTTTGCTTGGCTTTGGTACACCATCCAGGTCTCAGCACAATACAACAGGGTCGGGAGGACCCCAGCATTGTAGATTTACAACTTTGTTTCTGTGCGAATGCCGCTGCAGTCCCAAACCCCTGCTCTGAGTCTTCCAAAGGATGCACTAGCTTTATTCACTCCTAAAGCTATTTCTGCATCAATGCGAGCATTTCAGTATGATATAGAATTTGATTTTAGGAGAGAGGTTCTGGACATCACCAGGGACAGGCTGGAAGAGAACTTTTGTCTTTGCTAGGCTTAATGTAAGTCCAAAGTTCTCATATGTATTTGAAAAATGTCAACGCTTTTGTATGTTGGATTCTTCAGGGTCAAGTAGTGGGCAATTTACGGATCATTCTTTTTGAATAGAAGATGATATCAATAACTCCATATTCCGAAAAGTTGATAAGCGCCTGATTCCACTGCATCATGACACACATAAATGCATTTGTTATTATTACTGTTATTACGATGACTATTATTATTGTTATTATTATTATTATATTTTTTATTATTATTATATTATTACTATTATTAAAGCAAACTTTGTTTGAAAAAAGTATGGCTGCATAATAAATATTCCTTGTAATTTGTTTTCCAGGTTGCGTTTGTATATGAAAGAAGTTTATTCAAGAACATAACATTGAGGGAGTGCATTCCCAATCGCAAGTTCAAGATTTTCTTTGAGGATGAAGAGGTTGAGGAAAGATATTTGGAACTGTTGGTGTATCGATGCAAACTGTGTCGCAACCGCAATGCTGACAAGTCGTTCAATCAGCTTCAAACCCATATGAGAAGAGAGCATCAACTGTTTGCTTGTGATCTTTGTGTTTCTCACATCAAGGTATATTATTAATCTTAATCATCAAAAAATATTTATCTGTATCACTAGTATTCACTCCTGCATTGTGAATGTTGTATAACCATGCTGTCACACAAAAATTGATCATACTTTCTTCATGATAAAATATGGACTGCAGTGATTTAAAATACATGACTGCCTGTTTAGAGCCCGCCTACAGCCCCCCTTCCCCATCCTAGCTAGAGCTCACTCGATCTCTCCCGCTGTATCCGAGTTGGGGACTTTCCTTGCCCTGCTATATTCAAGCATAAGGAATTGAGTTTACCAAGGGAAAAAAAGGGGATTCCGGTAAGGTTAGCGGGTGCCGCTATAGTCATATTATACTTTGTATTCAGATGTATGTGAAAGAGAGGAGCAAGCATATGTGTGTGTGTGTGCGTGTGCGTGTGTGTGTGTGTTGAAACACCGTGTTCCGGCAACTGGGCAATAAGATTTATTTTTCGTCCTATCAGATAAGATGGAGAATAAGGCCACTGTATAAGAAAGTTTGTACTATTGTTTTGCCAACGTTTGTCCCTCAGATTTTGGTTGTTTATGATGGGGGCTCTTTAATTTATTTGGGGGGAAACCTGTGTTTATCTTGTTTCTTAGATCTTTGAGATTTAATCACTTATCACTAAAATCATTATAACATTTATTTCTTCCAGATTTTCCCATTTGAACGCAAGTTCTACTCTCGTAAAGATCTTGCTCTTCATCGACGAGTTGGTGATCCCGATGACAAATCTTACAAAGGCCATCCTTTGTGTGAATTCTGTGACACTCGCTATAATGATAAGGATGAACTGTTAAAGCATTTGAGGAAGGATCACTACTTCTGTCATTTCTGTGACCAGCACTGTTCAAATACTTATTATGAGTAAGTGCCACCAAAATCCTTTTTGCAGAAAAGCTGCCAAATGGTAATCATGAATGAATTCTTATCTCTTTATCTATGCCGGGCACCTCCTTTCGTACTAAATCTAAAAATGACAAAGAAGTTGCTAAGTGAGTAATTTAATCAAAACAAGTGAACTTATTTTGATAGTTCTTTATCTAATGAATGAACTTCTATAAAAGAGACAGGTTTTCGGCAATTTCAGGAAAGTAATTTGATGTTAAGTCCTCGTAAAGGAATGCGCCTGCTCACCGGTACAGAGGTTCTGTCTGTGAGCCGGAGATAAAGAGTTAACCTTGGTCCTTTGGGAGCTGGGTTTATGTTCCCCGATAAGCATACCTTATTTAGGCACCTCGCCTTCGGCCCAGTCCCGCGTCAGTCCGGCCCTGGCTCAGCGCACACACGCAGAGCATCATCCGCGTAATGACCGTGTCCCTTATTCCCGCAGTTCAAGTGTGTGTGCGTCAGTCTGCTTGAGTTTGTGTGTGTTTGTGGCATATTTCTAGAACCACCAGCGTTGGTTCCTGACGAAGGCATAACCTCTCTTTCAAAACACGCCAAGTTGGTCGCTCTAGATGTTTGTCCAATGAAATTAGAACAAATTGATCTGCTTAGACATGAGGTGCTCGAAAGGATAGCCTGGAAACAAGACTTCCATTTTTCTGTACAAAGTCTTTCAATTGAGCTTGATTTTATATAAAATGATATTACCTGATAAAAATGAGCTTATTTGTTAGTTTTTAATACCATTGTGCTGGTAAAAAGAACAATTTGAGAGCAAAGCATTCGGAGATTGACCTACAGTATAATCCACTTATATCGACAGCCAATGTATCGACATTTTGACGTATCGACATATTTTCCAATTACAAAATTATTCCTTCAATATCTTCACTAAACACTTTCTCTTATATCGACTTTTTTTTCGGCCCACTCTGCCTTATCCGCATGCTTCTTAGGTACCTGGCGAAGCCCACGAACATAAATGGGGGAAAAGCGACGCTAACGGTCAATGCATTAGTTCTTCATTAAGTTCGCACACTCGCCAAGTAGCCTATTCGACACACCAGGCTTTAGTAGGTCATGTAGGGCCTACAGAGTGTAGTCTCCAACACAGTACAGTGCCTCACAGACATGAGCGTCTCGTGCGCTGGGCATCACCTCCCTACCTCCACTCCTGATCACTCACTCTTCTTCCTCATCCTATTCTCAGTCTGTCTCTGGAAAGTGCCACGGTCAATGAGTCAGTGCCTCGCCTTTCCATTTTCCCCAGCAAGCGGCCATAAGCAGGCCTTAACAAGGATGCTACAACAAAGTTTGCGTTGGTGTGTAGTTTGCCCCTCGCACTGCTCGGTCTTTGGTGCCGTAACTCGAACCCCCCCAATCTCTTTAGTTTCACTGTGTAGTTGTGTAACCGCTAACCTCCCCTTGTTTTTTCCTCTTTGGCTTTATATTTTCATTTATCGACATTTTTATATATGGACATCAAATACTCTTCGATATAAGCGGATAATACTGTAATTACTTCCTTTTGAACCTCAGATCATTTGTAACAACAAGAGCGTCTAAAAAGGTTATTCGAATGGGCGTAACTACTCATAATGTCTTATCAGCTTATGGGAGGGGGTTGTTCATGTGTTCGAAACACTTTATACATAGAAAGCTATTAAAGATAAAGTGTTATTTTTATTTTCATCATCGATTAACACATCTCCTCAGTATTCATCAAATTCATGGCAAAAACACACGTTTCCAGTGCCGCTCTCTGTACCCTAACTGTACACGCTAAGTGACCCCGGCAGCCCACCTGAAACGTCCGACATAATAGGTTACTGATAAAATTTGCATATCAGCACAGACGCAGGACAAAAGTTGAGCACTAATTTCCTCGATTTTTTTTTTCTTTGTTATGTTGGGAAATAAACTCGATGTATAAGTGGAGGTGCTATTTTTTTCAAATTTACATCCATGCTGATGGTTATATATGTCAAAGTCTTGTCTTTTACTTTTAAAAATCGTCTGTGATGGTTGTGGAATGGTATTATGCAGGAGTTTGTCACATCGAAAGCAAATTAAAAAGTAGCTAAAGTGCTGCTGAAAAAATCTTATGTTTTATACAGTCTCATTTTAGTTATAGTTTTCAATGAATTTGTAGTCTGTTAAAAGGAATTGATATATATTTACAAGAAACATGTCCATAATTAAGTTTGATTGTACTGACTTTTTCTCAGATGTTCTTATTTTGTAATCTTTCAGTCAGTATCCCGACCTCATGAAGCATTTTTCTGAGTCTCACTTCTTGTGCACGGAGGACGAGTGTGGCAATCCAACAACCCGCTTCACTCACGCCTTTGTGTCGGATATTGACCTAAAGGCTCACAAGGCATCTGAGCACAATAAGAACTTGTCAAAAGCGCAAGTGCGGGAGGCCAGGACCATTGAGCTAGATTTCCAGTTAGCCCCCCGGAGACAGGCACATGGAAGAGGTGAGGGGTCACTGTTAAAGTGCTCCTATTATATACATCGATTGTTATCCTCTGACAGCTTGCACGACGCACAAAATTTGCCTTGACTAGCCAGTTGTGGTGGGGACATGCAGCTTTGATTCCTGTTTGACCCATTGCACTGTCATTCACCTTTCACTTTTTCTCGACGATGGTTGTTCTCGAACTTTCCCTTAATTGGGGCTCCTTTATATTTTGAGAGTTAATTTTGTGATTAGAAGATATAATTTGATAGCAGGATGACATCCAGGCCCCGGGCATCTTAGGGACCATAAGAACTCCAAATATGCCTTGAAATTTAAAAAAAATCACTGGAGACCTGGAAATGCCCAGAGAAAATGGAAGTCTATAAATTGACACAAGAAAGATGAGTGAAAATAACTTTTGTTCACCAAATAGTGGAATTGGAATCTGATGTCAGTAAGTTCACTTTTTGCCAGTCAAGAGCAGGTTTTGTATAAATGAGCAGCAATGACAGAAGTTAAATTTCCAGCAAGAAATTATGGATCATTAGTTTTATAAATTTTTATAATTTGTTTATTGTAAATTGGTTCTTAGTATGTTGTCAAGTGCATATTGTTATCACCTCTGGTTTTTTATTTATATGAAAAGGAATGAGCTCCACTATTTGTGGTTGCATGATTATATTAGTTTATATCACTATCACAAGTGGTCTGTGTTGAACTTATATTCCTTTTTTTTCTCTGTCTCCTTAAATATTAGGTGCCGGCATTACGAGCAATGATTACGAGGATTCCCGATCTGGTAATGGCGGAAGACGGGGAGGTGACAGGTACAACAGAAGGTGAGTTTCATACTTCTGAGGATCTGGTTAAAGTAGCGACTTTAATGAAGACTAGACTAGAAATATTAGTGTTCATAGTTGGGTGGAAAGAACTTACATGTCTGCTTTGCCATATTCACTCTCCCCATTTAGCTGTATTCTAGAAAATTCTTTTATAAATACTTATAAAAAAATACCAGTGGTTGGTTTCCGCAAATTTTAAAAGGTTTACAGCCAGGGCAATATCGCTTTTAAAAGCAAGTCCGTAATTTTAAAAAAATCATGACTTTATGTATTGAACGCTTGTTTTGAGAACTTTAAGTGCAAAAAAAGTGTCACTATAAAATTAATTCCCTGCAACAGGTTTTCCACTTAAAAGTGCCGTATGCGTCTGCAAGATGTGTGTTAGAAGTGGGAAGTGGTGTGAACATTTCCATTTTCCGTGTGAAAGATTTATAGTATTTTATTTAAATTTATGAAGAAAAGTTTATTAATATATCCTCAATTGTTGTGGAAAAATATGATAGAGTTAGGCCAAATTGAGATAAACTGCTGTGCAAAGTATGGGCGATATCGATTTCCCCTGTTAGAGAGATATTTGAGGATAAGTGGCGCCACGATTTTTTGACAGCACTATAGTGTTGCATGTGTTAGTGAGAAGTCAGTATATTCACTTGCAGTAAGACTAAGCCCAGCCAGATTTCCAACATAAAGGTGCAATAAATGCCAGATAGGTGTTAAAGTTACGGGCCCAATGCATCTCAAGACTTTGCTTTGTTCCACAAACTTGTAACTTAAAGGTGAGGAAGGTGGGAGTAAATGGTTCCACCATTACTAACAATTGTAGTTTACTTTGTGAGTTCTCTTTTTACCATATTTTATTATAACATTTCTTATTCCTAAGTTTCATAATAATTTCTTGATTTTCCAACTATAAATCTTCCGATTGTTTCTCCTGCAATCTGTTCATATGTTAGTACAGTCAAAATTGTCTACGATGGTCACCCATTGTCAAGGAGAAAAGTGATTGTCTTGGACAGTTTCATTATTGTTTTTATAAAAATGCTAGGGGAGAAATAGGAAGTAATCATTCATAGATGATTGTCTCAAACAGATGGGTGCTAGAGCAATTTTGACAGTTGGCCTATTATCCTTTTAGCATGCACTTAAGACTACTGTTGAGATGGTTTGTTTTTTTAGCGTGTTTGTCCAGTCTGTGGAATTGTATGGTCTGCAGTATGTGAACATAATCTCGCTCTAACTGAGTTCAAATCGATTGTTTTGTTTCTCTTCTTTAGGAGGGAAAGGGATGACGAGGATCTCCAGCGTGCCATTGAAGCATCCAAGGAGTCAATGTCAGAAGCCAGACCCCCGGTCCAGGAACGTGTTCCTGATCCAGTACACGACTTCCCCTCTCTGAGCGGAGCTCCAGTCCCGGCCTCCATGGCCAGACCACCTCCCTCTAAGTTTGCAACACCTCGGTCACGGGAAGAGGACTTCCCCACACTCTCCAGTACTTCTAAAGGGGGGAAAGTGGGCCAGCAGCCACCTAACAAAGCTTATGCATCTGTGATGAATTTCCAGAATGAGGTGAAGCCTGCAGTCCCCGTAAAGAAAGAGTCGAAACCTGTCTCACTTGGTTCAGTTCCCTCTGTGTCACGGGATAGATGGTCTGCATCAGCCCCTAAAAATTCGGAGGAGGATTATCCTGCCCTGGGTGGCTCACGTCCTTCCTCTGGCAATCCAACACCAAATGTAAATACTGTCAACTGGATCAACAAACCTTCTCATGCTACTGTACCTGGTGGGAGTACAACGCAAACTGCTCAAATTTCTAACAAAAGCTCCCGATACAAACCCATTTCTGATAAGACTATCAACGATGTAAATGAATTTCCAACCCTGGGGGGAGTCAACAGAAATCAAAATGTTAGAAACAACTTGTTTTCTGAGTGGTCAAAACCACAAAATAATAATAAAAAGAAACCGACTCCAAAATCTAAAAAATTTGACGAAAGCTTTGAATTACCAAGTAACTACTGCACGCCCTCAGACGAGTACCCTGTTATTAATGATAATCGTATTGGAGATTCTTCTAAAAAATTGGTGAATGGTGTAGCTCATTTGTCAGTGGAACCCAAGTTGACAAATGGATCGCATGATTTTCCAGAGCTCCCAACCAGACTTGACAAAGGAGAAAGTGGAGGAGGAGGCGCATCGGGAGAGAAGAAAAAGAAAAAAAAGAAGAAAAATGCAGATAAAACGCCAGGGCCTTCCAGTAGTGTAGCTTGCGTGGAGGATCCTAGTGCCTCTTTGAATGACATTGCCCTTGGCCTTCTTCAAAATGGACCTACTGCATCTGTTGGTGTCAAGCAAAATGGCAAGGGTAGTGATGGCAGCTCTGACAAAACCTCCAAAAAAATCCCATCTTCATCGAAAAAACCACTGAAAACTGATTGGTTCGATAACCCCCCTGTTGAAGTTCTACCCTCAGGTGGGCAGGCATCAAATGATGGCACCAGTAAAGTTGAGAAGGCTAAGGAGTCTAATGAGAATCCACAGGAAAGTGCAGTGGACAACTTCCCATCCCTCCACGCTATGTCCACATCAGTGCAGCACCCCAAACCACCTCCTGGCTTCCACTCGGACCCGCCTGCTGCTGCTGCCTCCAAGACATCAACACTCTCTGCCCCACCAGGTTTCTCTGTCCCCCTCCCTTCTGCTGGCAGGTCAGTGGCCGCTCCTCCTCCGGGCTTTCTTCCCACTGCTGTGTACATGGAGCCCCCAAACTTCAAATCTCGAAACATGCAACTGGTCCAGGACATTCGCTCCATCTTGGCAACGGTTGAGGATGGTTTCTCAAATTTTAGAGCCTTGTCGGGAGAGTTTCGTCAAGGCTTTCTGGAGGCCTCAGACTATTACTGCAGCTGCCAGCTCCTCATGGGTAGCACGGATTTTGACAATGTTTTCCCCGAGCTCATCGCTCTTCTACCAGATGTTGCACGACAACGTGAACTTTTTGATATTCACCAGGCTGCCAATCAAAGTGGCTCTTCTTGTAGTCTCCGCGACTGTCCGACATGTGGTCAGATTGTGTTGGCTCAAGATGTTGCTCATCATCAGCAGGTGCACGGCATCAATCCCTCTGACTTTCCCTCTCTCGGAGGCATTGGTTCTAAGTCAGATTTTGGAGCCAATAATAATGGAGCAGAAAGAACGGCGGTAAAGGGAGCATGGATTAAAGCAAAATAAAAGGCTAGATCAAGAAACTGTTGTAAAATGGAAGATTTGAGATTTTTTATATTTATATTTGCTGCAGACATATAGGAGAGTAGCCTACTACTAATGTGACTTCATATCGGAGATCATTTGCAATCAAAGAGGGCAAACTGTTACCAAGCGGAGTTTAGGAACACATGTGAAAGAAATGTATAGTTCAGCTGACATCCTGCTCTGATACTTGTCTTACGTGTCACTTTTGTTTTTAAGCCTGATCCAATTGAAAAATATTGACTAGTTTTTCGTTATAGATTAGAAAGGAAGATGTTTTACTGTAGTGTTTGTTGTCTTTCTCAGGTGTGTCCCTAAGTTGTTGGACAGTGTTCTGCTTACTCATGATTCCTTCCCAGTGTACAGATTTTTAAAACTGCTTTTCTTTAAGCTCAGTGCTTCTCAACAATTGCATGAATTGTTCTTATTTCACAAGAGATTAAAAATGATAATGTAAGCCAACATACTGAAGTAAAATTACCCTAGACTAGAGCCTCCTCTTTATTTGAGTTATGTGTTGCAGTTTATTTAAAGAAAAGTAATAATATAGAGCATCTCTGATGAAATATATATTTTTTTTCACATCAGCTTTAAAACAGAGTGCAGAGCAAGTGATGGACACAGTGATACTGAACCGGAGCTAAAAGAATCATTTTGTTTGTCAGGGTTGGGATGTATAGTTCTTGCAATTTCACATTGCCATACTAATAGTCTTACTTCCGGTAGGGAAGGTGATCCTTGTCTCAAACAAATAATTGCTTTTGTGCAACGAAATCAGTCAGACATATGCAGTCTGTTTCTTTCATTTCAGCGTATTTCTTTTTTATACCAGAGCAGGGATGGCCCCTGTCTTGATTTGTAACTGAAATCTAGAAATCTAGAATATTGAATCAAGTAAATTTCAATGAAAAGAATGAAGACAAAAATAAATGGAAAAATTGGGGAAAAAAAAAGACTAGCTTGTTCACTTTCGTCTGACAGTGGTTTAAACAAGACATAATGAAATCGCCCTGTTTAATCTTCTCAGATCTGTGCATACAAGGCTTAAAGTTGGATGACCAACAGAATCGAAAAGCCCATTCATAAAGGTCATCTCAAACTAAGGTTCCGACATGTTTTCTTTGATGTAAGCCTAAAGCAAGAAAAAAAATAATATGAGATTTACAGCGTACACTGAAACATTTTCGTCAACACCACACTCTAACGTTCGCCTAAGAAATACGATTCAAGAGATGGGATGAGTAATTTTCCAGACACATGGAGTACGAGGAGACATCTAGACAGCTGGGGGATGAAATCTTTAAGCTGGCACTGACACTTAAATGTGGGGGCAGGGTGGTGTTGCTGTCTCAAAAAGAGCAATTTGAAGGCTAGGTTACTGTAAGTCATTTATTGTAGTGACCTTGTGTTTGCATCCAAAGAGCGGTTTTTAGAGAAAAACTTTCATTACTGAATCAAGATTTAAAAGAAAAAAAATTTTTTTTTGGTCGCTGGCCTGCAGAAGTGCCATGCAAGGTATCGTGGGCATACGTAAATTAATAAATAAATGAGCTAGAATTTTTGTAACGCTGTCAAATGAAAGTGAACTAGCTATAGCTCATAGTTAAGAGTAATCTAATCCTAAAGTGCATCCTGTGACTCGCACTTATTGGAACAAGAATGTATTTTTTATAGAGCATGACTGCAGAAACTTTATGGTTTTGGCACGGTACAGTATGTCTGTTTGCTCTCAAACAAGTCAACTCAGGCTGGTCAAATCTCTCTAAAGCAAGCAGTTTTGGTATGCGTGAACACTGGAGCAAATCCATCCTGCAAGTGACCTTAAGCAAGATTTTAAGCTATTGGTCCAGAAGTTGGACCCCTCTAAAGTTGGCAAATTAATTGTATTTGGCTGAATGGACCGTAGCCACCTGTAATAAGTACACATGTACCATGTTCCTTTCCTGTTATGTACACCTACACTGTATCCTAGAGTCAGATGATGTGCTGTGGGTGGAGTAGCCATCTTACTATGGGCCTTCCTGTTTTAGAGCAATATTTGTTTGCTGGCATTCTGCCTTATGCTCCTTTTTTGCTGTTTTGTTTTTGGGAAACGCGTGTAGCATATTATATACCGCAATTAAGGATTTTAATAGTAATAGTGTACAAGACTGTACTCAAAGTCAGGGATGGAAAGTTTTTGCATAATTTTCTTAATACGTGTAATTTTTGTTAACACTAGTCATTCAGTTTGAATCTAAACCAGTCAGGAGTTGAGTTGGTCACTTATATTATATTCAAACCAAGCTTCAAAGTTTTTGTGGACCTGGGTTTGGAGAGTGATGTTTTTTTTGGGTAATTTCTTGGTTTTGCCAGGGATGCAGAGATATTTCAATAAAATTTAAATCCAGATTTGATTGTAGGTTCAGAAAATATGTGTTGGCTTTGTTTTTGTTTGTTTCTATTTCTAACCAATGGTTTAGCCTGTAGGGTATTTTTGCTTTTTTAGATTTATATTTCTGTATCCCTTTGTAGATATGGAAAAGTTGAACTGTTTTGTTTGTGGTCAATGTTGTCTTACTTGAACTATGGGCAACTAAGTATTTAAGAGAGCAAATGAAACTACACTAATACTAGATTCTAATAGTGTTTTTATTTTAGAACTTTATTTTAAACATTTTTTAGTTGTCTTGTTTCTTGTTTTTGTTTTTTTAGTGTTTGGTTCCTCCTGTTTTTTTATAAATAGCACTCTCCTATTCTTTTGTGTTACAGGATGTTTGCTTAAGTTTTTTATTTGGCTGTTATTTGATTTTAATCTGACATGATGTCAGTGAATCTTGTAACTAAGAAAACTCATTGTGTGATATGATCTATGTTTTTTGTGTGTTTTTTTTCAATATGGATATTGTGATGACTGTTAAAGACAGCAACGAGTAGTTTACTGATGGCCAGTGCAAAGAAAAAGAGGGAGGGGATTATACAGGAATAGATTAACATGCACCGTAGTCCATTTGCCCCCAAATCAGTCCTTTTTTATTTCACAGTCTTGGAGGATAGGGGACAAAGTAATCATGTCTCTTATATCAAGGTTAAACAAGGTTTATGTACCCCCTAGGGCTGTGGCACTGACTGAAGTGTCTTTAGGCCATTCCCAAAGGGGGGGACATTTCTCGTTCTAATGCACAGTAGAATTGTAAATGGGCTGATCCAACAACGTCATGCTCATAACTCTGCCTGAACTACAACAGGAAACTGAGCATGTTTTTTCCCCCCTTTTCCTTACTATCGTCATTTTCCTCTACTTCTTTTGTATATTTGTCACACTCTTGTGACCCGCTATTTCCAGGGTGCCTTGATAGTCAAAGCAGACTTTGTGCTGTTGAAGCTAGAGAGGTGAGCAGAGTAAGTCTGATTCTCTGTAAGGACTTCTCTGTTGACATCCACCCCTTGGCGCTCACATGACCTTAAACAGTTGTGATCCCTGTAAAACTTCTACTAAAACTAAAAAAAAAGGTTTATGTCAAGAGGACGCCAAAGGAACCATTTATTGAGAATTTTTCAATGGAAAAAAATACTTGTATTCTCCCCCTTTGAAAACTGTTACGACGTGGTGGAATCAGGCACTCGTCAATTTTTAGGTATATGAAGTTATTGGTACCATTATAAAGCTTGTTCATTTGTCTTGTTTGTGATAAAAAAAAATTACTCTATATCTTGAATAGAAGTTGAGATATCTGTAACTGAAGGAGGTGGGGGTCGCCTTGTTTCAGATGTAAAATTAGCGAGAAAATGGAGGCCAAAGTCTGGTATATTGCATAGCTTGAGAGACCTTGGAAACATAATTTACATTTTTGTGCCTTTTATCGACTTTTTTCATTGAAATCTTCACAGAAATTTGTTTTTCAATAGATATATAAGAGGTGTTAAACCCAAAAATAATATTTTGAAAAAAAAATGCAAAACCGGCAGTAAATAAATGCCGATTTCTCTAAATTCATTATTTTGACGAGTGCCTGATTTCATCACGCTGCTTCACATATTTTCAGGAAGCAGAGAATGTTTTGAAATGTTATGGAGTATGTCAAGGTGGTAATAAAATGGAAAGTGTGTTGAGCCTACTTCCATGTGGGCATATGCACTCAGCTACCATGTATAAATACATTGTATTGTTATTATTATTTATTGCATGATTCAGGCTTCATGAGACGTCTTTCTTTTATGATAGTGTGACTGATGGTTAAGGGGTTGAAGAGGAACACTACTTGTATTATTTTCTTTTCTTTCACCATATCATTGATATCTTAATTGAGGAAAATATCAAAATGTGCTAGGACACAGTGCCCAAGGTTTGAGGCTATTGTATTGATGGAACAAAAAGATGGATAAGTCTGATAAGCCATACTTTTTGTAGTTTCAATAGAAGAGTGTTGCCTGAAATGGTGAAACTTTTTATTTTAATGTAAAATTGTCGATGTAGAACTTGAATGCAATATAACGTTATAAAACATCCTTTTGACTGCTAAATAATTATGGCAGTTCATTTAAGTGTGAAGCAATGCTGTGTAGATTATTCAGTGCTTTCTGATCTAGTTGACTTGGTTACACCCTGCATTACTGTGTACAGGATGACACCCCCCCCCCCCAAAAAAAAAAAGAATCTTAAATTTGAGTTCCCATTTTTTCTTGACTTATGACAGTGACAATTTTGATACAAATAAACTTTGTTTCGGGCTTACTACTATTTGGACTTTAATTTTCCTTTTTATCCTCTCCCGTCACCATAAATCAGATCTTTTTGTCATAAAATATTTTTTGCCAAAGATTTTGTACTGTTATAATCTTAATTTGTTTCTTTAGTGGTGGCAGTTTTTTAACTTCATTTCTGCACTTTTTCAATCCTTATTTCCCCTTTTTGTGTGCCTTAGTTCGGTGGTTCTTCCCCATCTCAATAATTTTGTTTATACTGTAAATGTAGAAGTACAGTTTTGCTAAGATATTGATGCTTATTTTCCTTTTTTGAAACAAGGTGTGTGTATATATATATATAATTATATATATTGCTGTCCTTTAACTGTTCAGTAAAGGACTTCTTTTGAAGATAAAAAGGATAAAAGTACCACTGCCACTTTGTTGTTCACTCCATATATATTATAACGGCGGTGTTCTACTTTTTTGGTGTGAGTACTACTAATGTATTACTGTAGTCTCCGCCTAAGATCCCGGTGCTCGGGAGCAAGGAAATGCGGGATCTTAGGCGAACCAGGATGTAAACCGACGAACCCAGGGAAGAATCTACGGTGACCCATGTTGAGTACAGTTGAGGCTCACAATCGGTAAAATGGTCTCCCTCCACTCTAAAATGAACTGAGGTGACCCCTTGGTGGGCTTATGACATATGGCGAGCAAAGAATGGTTAACCTTGATGACCTATCACAGCGCATAGTGGCATGAGGCGTGCCATTTTCACTTATTATCCTATCATGAGTCTCAAGATCTACGCTTATCCAGTTGCCCCTCCCCTTTACGTGTCGAAAACTTACAGCTTTCCATCTCTGACCGAGTTTCCCCCTCCCTTACCGCCTTTGTCGTTACACACCATTACGTTGTGAACACACAAATTAAAATTCAGCCTGTCCCGCAAATTCGGGAGTAGAGACAACTGCTGCAATGGTCAAGGAAGAGTTCACAGTTCGATGTGATTGTGATCCCGCCTGGAGCGAACGTGTAGGCCCTACCCACCCAGCGAGTGATGTAAGTTAAGGGGGGAGAGCTCAGGTGTGAGTGCGGTGTGTGGGGAAAACAAACGTGTCGGTCAGTTCACAGTCACACCCCGGTGTGATCCAGTCTGGGGCAAACATTGTATCGCTTCGAGTTTTACGTGTATGTGATCACATTCACAAGAGTGGCTGATCTTTGAGGCTACGGACAGTTTATTGATCTCAACTTTTCACACTTGGTTGATCGGCTGTGCCCGCCAGGATTTTTGTTCCGCAAATTATGATCCGAAATGCGGGATCTTAGCTGAATGTAGACCTTCAGAGTGAATCAGAGCGGGATCTTAGGGGTGACTTTTGTATAGTAATAATTCTGTTTTCTTAAAACAGCGGGATCTTAATAAGCGAACCAGGATCGTAAGCGGTTGGATCTTAGGCGGGGACTACTGTATTTACCTGTTCCTGGTCACTTTTACTTTTCCGATCCAGCGGCCATCTGGGTTCTAGCCCTTCGGCCTGTCGACATGGCAAAGAATTTACTGGTTTTTATCAGCTGTGTTTTGTTGCTGTATAAAGTATTTCCGATATGTACCTGTTCTTGGTCAAATGTGGGTGTTATTGTGATGCATATTGTAAACTACAGCTCGACATCCCTTTTCAACCTGTCTTATGTAATTGCTGGAGCTTCTTTGGCACTTTAGGACAATGTTTCTTGAAGTTTCATTGCTGATGGCATCAGTAGCCATAAATACAATGTTTTATTTTACGGCAGTAATATGTTGTATCAGATCTTGGGCATATGGGACCCAGCGACATGGAAGTGGAGTAGATGGCTCAGAACAAAGACAGGTGGAGAGTCCTTCTTGGTAGCCTATACCGTGCTATACCCAATATCAGGGTAAAAGAAGAGAATGATAATGAATAAGTTTTATGAATGTACGACCACAGCTCCAAACACCAGCCCCTGTGTGTTCAAGTGTACTTGTAATCCACTGTAGTAGGCTACTTTCTGATGCAAGGAGCAAGAACTACAATCTAAAAGAGCAAAGCAGTCTTTGGATTCATGTCCATCACTTGCATTGCTGTACAGAGGGAACAGGATAATCTCAAAATACTTTCTGACTTGGTGTAGGCCTACTGTTAGCCTGGTTCGTGCTTTAGTATACTATGATACTGATGACCAAATGGAGTTTTCTTGAACTTGGGTTCGGGGAGTTACTGTAGGCTTGGCTCAAGAGAAGTATGCATAGAGGGGTATATCACATTGAATATAATGTTGAGCATGCACAGTGTAATGGAAGTGGGTGGTTGGCGGGTGCTCTGGTGTGGTTTGCTCCTTTCCTATAAAAAATCTATCGTCTCTATTTCCCGTCCTTTTTTTTGGTGTTTGTTACTCTTTTGTAACACCTCTAATCTTCGGCACTTATATGACCTTATTGTGTCGCAAGTGTCATAAAACTCTTACTAAAAAAAGTGTAATGGAAACAAGAAAGAAAAAAGAGATAAAGTCTTTCAGTTGCTGGTGATAAACAAAACCACTTAGATTTTGAAGTTTTAGGAAGTTTTACAACACTTGCAACACAACTAGGTCATATAAGTGCTGAAGTGTAGTGTGTAGAGATGTTACAAGAGAGCAAAATAGAAAAGGAGGAGGAGAGGCTTAAGGACAACAGATGTTTGATAGGAAAGAAGGAGCAAATCACACCAGAGCACCGGCCAACCATCCTCACTTGACGTTAACCATGCATATAATATGTACTTTAATGAAAAAAAACACAAAAAACCTGACACGAATGGTGGAAACTACCTTACATTCTATACATTTATTTCATTAACATCAACAATCAGAAGGCATTCATGAACAGTCAACAGTGATGGACAACTTACACATCCCAAAATAATTTTTAGGAAACACACTACTTCATCAACCTTTCCTGTTGGAGCCCACCCAAGGTTTGTGAGAAATTATATCCCAGCAGAAGGATGAGAAATGGTTGGTTAAATAATTTCTCCAAGTGGACCCTCTGCACGCAAGGTGAAGAACCTAATAATATTACACAACAGACTCCCCATTTCATTCATTCTCAAAAGGTAGATTGGTACAAGTCCTACAATAATAAGGCTCTTCACCCGCCTGGCTCAGTCTTATCAGAGATGAATGTTGTATTAGGATGTTCTTATATTAACTTATAAATAGCTGTAACGCATTCAGTGCTTCCACCAGCTAAAGCTGAAAAGTAAGGGAAAATTGGGCCGCTGAAATTAAAATTTAGTGCTTTTAAAGGGTTGAAAATGGTATTGGGAGCCTGTTTGAAGAGATTGCCTGCAAACCATAACATTTATTTTTTCACCATTTTTTCTTGTTTGATTTCTTCACCAAGATCTACATATATTTCCATTGATGGCATTGTTTAAATGCAGGTTCCCCTTCCATTGCTACTATAATTCAATTAATTTGTCATCGCACCATTGATAGAAGGCAAACCTGGGAATAATGAATAGATATGTACCTTCACAATACAGAGGTACCCGACGTATACCCTAATTTTCCTTAAATTTCACGCCTGAATGTCGCATGTCACAACCCCGGAACACCACTTCGAATTATTCTTGATTTTAGTAGTTTTAGCATAAATTTCTTTCATCGCGGCCCTTATAGCGTTCCCGTGCCGTAGAATCTTCGTATTGATCTGATCATTTCTCTAGATCTAGACAAATTTGTGAAAAAGTTTCTTTCTGACAGCAATTTTCTAAGATCACAAGTCAATTTACTTGATCAATGAGCAGATTTTCCAGCCGTGGCAACAATCCGAAGATAGACGGAATGAGTGAATGATAGAAAGGAGGAAATTGGCACAAAAAGTTCGCGAGATTTTGATCAACCCACGGGTAAAAATGTACTGCCGACAAGCCCGCAATGAATGCATGGGGCACAGCGGAATAATCAATCTGGCAGGTTTCTAGAACATTAAGTTATTGCCGAGAGAATTACGTAAATATCCGTAACTTATACTAGTACTAGACTACGAAATTTCAGTAGTCCTACGCTGTTGCAACTTTATACGGAGGGAGTTGATAATGATGGAGGAACAAGTACGTAACTGGCAGAAAGTACAGATTTCCGTAAAAATACGGAAGAGTGGAAGCACTGGCATTTATAGGAACATTAAAAAATAAACTTATCCTATTCCATGCTTACCCACTTGTTCTGCATATTGCCAAACAACATGTGAAGTCCCAGTTCAAACCACGAGAATCCTAAAAAGTAAAAGGTTATTCTACTCATATCATCATAACCCATCACATTCTGAAAGTGAAAAACTATGTGGTTTCTGAAAAGAATAAATAAGTTGCATAACAGAAACCCAAAATATTATTTCCCCAAAGGACAAGCCATGGTACACCTCACCCATTATAACCTCAACAGTCCCGTAAGATTTCAAGAACATAATTAACAACAAGCTTCAAAAAGAACTCTGGGTTTATAACATTGGCAACCTGTTTTTATTTTTATTACATGGAACATTTTAACACATTATACCCTACATCGCACGGGATCGCCCGTGAATTCCCTTACGCGCTCCACCCTGACTCGCCCGGAACCGCCTGCGCCGACCTAGCGTCTTTAGAAACGAAGTCTCGCCTTGACGAGACTCTGGGGCCGGGATTTTGATTTGCATAGTTATAGCAAAAAGTTTTATCTTTCGTTTGATACCGAAACGAAAATTTTCGGGCCAGTAGTTTTAGTATTAGAGCTGATCGAAGTGCGATCGCGTTAACGACACTTCGAAAGTGTCTCGACTTGTTGAAAAGCGACACAATTGAGTTCGAAAACGGAAATAACGATGGATTTGAGTAAAAACAAGCATATGACACGTTGTAGCAAGAGTTTGGGGCGATTCAGATTGATCAGATGGAGAAAATCTAAAATTTAGATCTAGGGTCCGACCGTGAGAGTGACGGGTCGGACACCCCGATTGAACTAAAGTTAGAACATTTCCAACAGTTTGCGCATACATAAAGTTATATTTTTCTGAAACTACATTCAGTTTTCTTTTTAACTTTTATTTTTTCAGGATTTTTGGAATTTGTTTAGTATTTTTAAAATGTGCTTTTTAAACGCTTGTATTCACGGGAGGTGGGTTCCTTCCCCTTGCCTAGGATCTAACAAAGGACTTCCCGTCCAGGCACTTAGGGTGCAATGTGTTAAACTAAAAAGTAATCCTCAGCCATACTGTAGAATTGGTCTTTTTTACAGACAATCTTTAAGCAGTATGCATGATACTGTTTTCCCTGGGGGGGTAAGCATTGAGTAGAGGAAGTAGATTGCCCAAGTAGGCTACTGCTTCCCTCCCTTCAGACCTTGGCTTCTTTGATTATACTCCAAAGAAGAACAGACATGATCAATACTTTTGGAAATAAGGAAGATGTAAGCGATGTACTAGAAAGTGCAATTCCTCAAAATGCGTCACATGGTACCTTTTACCAGGCACACATGTACATATGGAGTACAAACATAGGACTTGTCTGCACAAATGGATTACTTGATATGAATCTTCTTATCTTGTGGTTTTGTCTGAGCCTTCTTCTTCATCATTTGAATACGTTTGTTGGCTGTCACCATAGAAAGATTGGCAACTGCCTGTTTATTGCTGCTACTGCTACCTCCTGAACTACTTGAGCTCTTCAGAGCAGGAGCTGTTTCAGTTGTGGGCGTACTTGGTGCAGAAGAAGACGATGAAGAGGACTTTGCTAATGATGGCTCTGACTTGCTCGATTCATGGTGGGCGGGAGATTTTTTGGAGTCTGACTTCTCCCATTTGTGCTCGCCAGAAGAGCTTTTAGAGGACTCTGACTTTTTGTCTTCTTTACTATGGGCGGAAGAAGAAGAAGAGCTGGATGTTTTAGATGACATGGCATCATCATGCTTGCTGCTCGACTTATATCCACTCTCCGACTTTTTCTCCCTTTCCTCCTTCGAAGACGATGATTTAGAGCTCTTTTCGTCGCCTTTTCCTGAAGATTTTGAGGAACTGTCAGATTTGTATCCTGATTTAGAATCTGACTTACTGGACTTCGAACCGTCCCCTTTGGGATCTGACTTTCGGCTGGAGGAACTGCCCTTGGCTTCATTTCGAGGTTTGGCAAGATTAGCTGCCAAACCAGCCAGTCCGACCATTGGCTTTGCTGTTGAGCTCAGACTGCTTGTCTCTTTAGGGGCTACAATAGCCTGCAAAAGGGAAAAGTTCCAAAAAAAGTTAGAGAAGACAAAAAGAAAAGCACTGAAAGAAAATGATTCAAATTTTGTACTCCAAAGAAAAACAGACTAGCCTATGATCTGATGGCTAAACACACTCACCACTTATTTGCTCAATCCCCATGACCATTTCATTAACACAATGTATAGGAAAAACAGATAAAGTTGGGTTTCGTTGATATTAAAAGTACACACAATAAAACCCTGATAATGATAACACAAAGTTCATGGGACCACAGATTAAACTGTGACAGTATGATAGTCAGAAGATAAAACAACCTGGTTTTGATGAAAGGATAGAAATAGAAGGATGGATGGTGAGTGCTCCTTGTTCCGTGTCTAAGCAAGAAAAAGAAAGACAATGATGGTGATGAGCCTTGGATTTACATCTGATTTTTGTCTTTAGAAAAAAATTGCTCTTATGTCAGACCAGTCATAACATTGTGAAACCAACACTGGTCAACGCACACTAACCATTCTTCTTGTGTAATCATTGAAGGAAGGTCTATTGTTTTATGCATACTCCAGGAAATAAGTGACGATTAGTCTCAACACCAGATAAGTGTGAGTCAGGTTGTGCGAGGACAAGCCTGGTGGGCTCATGTAACCTGTTACTCTCGATGACGATGGGTGTATTGTTTTGCCTCGTGTACACACGGTGATTTGAATTCGAGCTAATTGTGAAAAAAAATTGAGTTAAAAAAAAAAAATGAGTTGGGTTATTCAACATTTCCTTACGGGTGTTTGTAAGAAACAGGTTTTGCCAATACAAAGACAATAATATATAGTGGTTTCAGTCAGGGAACGGCAAATTGTATCAGCTCTATGTTATTTCAAGTTTTCCTTGTTTGTTTTAGCTGCGCCCAACTGTATTCTGTTGATTTCATTGAATGTAAAAAATCCCAGGGATTCCTTTCCCTTTACGCAAGTCTGAGCTCAGTGAATGTAAGTTTCATTGTATAGGCCGATAAACATGCACTTGAAATTTGAGTAAGTTAAAATACAGGTACTTTCCACGTATGGGACACTGGTCTTACTCTTAGTGACAAACGACAAAGCGTTTGGAACAGATTAAAAAAAATATGCTCTGCATCATTGATAGTCGTGCACAGTTGTGAAAATTTAGAAGCCCTTGAACTGTCAAACGAACAGAATGACAAATATCCTTTATGCACCAATGACCCCAATTTCAGCCAAAACAAGGCTGAAGCAACATATCTGCAACAATTTTAATAAATCTGTACTCACCTTGGGATCAATTCGTCTGAAGGCCTGAGTGCTAGAAGAAGTGTCAGGTTTACTGATCTTGCTCAATGGGGCCACCGGGTCCTTAGCAACGCTTGTAGTCGGTAAAGCTGGCTTTGGCTTCACTGGCTTTTGAGCGACCTGAGAACAAACAACCATATTTATGTAGTTGCATTTGATTTTCCCTAGGAATGTGATAATTTGTGGCATCTAGTTCCGTTTTTAAAAAATAAACACAACAAAGGGCACAGTTGCCCCATTGCTGTTTCTGTTTTAGAAAATACATTTGCATTATAATCGTAAGTGCTCATATTATTCTTTAAAAAAAAGTCCTATTTAAAACTCATTACAGTCCGTGCCAGCTTTAAGCACGCCGGCATAAAGCACGTTTCGGACTCAAGCATGCTAAACGGCTCTTACCGAATCTTTGCTATATAAATTACACGCCTTTAACTTTAAGCACGGTAACTCCGGCTTCGGGCACACTTCATTTACAAGACAGTCAATTCTTTCATGAAGACTGAAGACCCATCGAAGTTCGAACACAGTCTGCACCGGAGCAGTGGAGTGTGAGTGTAAGAGAAACACAAAGAACGGAAGTGGTGGAGACACACACTCACACGGGCGGAGAGGAAGGTAGAGAGAAGCACACAGCCACGTGCGTGGACATAGGATCTAGCCTAGGGCAAAGCTCCGCACAGACAACAAAAATACAAAGAGAGTCGGAAGACGAGAAAGGGAGGCTGGCTGCGATTTCACCTTTGATCCTCGCTATCCATTAATCCTGATTGTGTATGACCCGCGAGGTGGGATGAAGGCGGTGGTATGAATGTGGCACAGCGGGCAGTGGTACGCACAGGCAGTGTAAGGGCCTTGTGTGCTGTATTGTGACTGGCGGTCTAAATTAAGTTTTCATTTCCCATTCGACAACAAAACAAAAACAAACAAGCAAACAAAAACTACCATGGCGGGTAAAAATAACAGTGCACACTTTTGCGAGACCGCTATAGGCCTACTTACAAACAAAGGGAAATAGCAAGGGAAATTTTCCACATGAAAATCTCTTGATTATGTCTACTTCGCACTCAAGCACGCTTCAGCTTTCTCCCGATGACCGTGCTTAAAGCCGGCATGGACTGTATTAGTAATAGTGAGTCAGAATATTCTTTTGAAAACAAAGAGAAATTCTTACAGCCATAGGGAATTCTGTTTCAAAAAGTTTGGTAGCAAAGTAATAAGCCGCTTACATCGTTCATTTGTAGGGAGCCATTTCTCGTCCTGACCAGGATAAGTAGACTAAAGAAACTTAGCTAATTACTTGTTGAAATCCCAGTGTTCAAATATTGCCTTTGGGCTGGCATCTCAGCTTGTAAAAAAAAATGCTACAAAAACATGAAGCCAGTTTTAGAAGACAGAGGCCCTCCCAGGAAAGAGAAAAGGAGAAGAGAGGAGAGCTTGGTGATGTAGGGTGACCAAAGCTGAGAGGAAGCCTCACAGTAAAGGATCCCTTTATTGTCGACCAGGGGAAGCCCTAGAATGTTCCTACCATGTACAGGGATGGTACAAAAAATGTTTTCACACAAGGAAGGATACCAGCATGGCATTTTGGGACAAGGTGGTGGTGAATGGTAGAGGCAGATGCTAAGAAACTGGCAAAAGTTGAATACAACTGATGAAAAATGTATTGGATGCTTATCTTTGTAGAGGAACTGTTGATGGCCAGTGCTCGTCCTGTACAGTTCATTAAATTATAAGAGCACTAAACTATAAGACCACAAAAAGTATTACCCACCATCTTCTTCAGGCTCCTGGCGCACCTTGAACAATACCACACAAAGCGAGGGTCACTGATTTCCTCCTCAGTAACTGGTGGCTTGTGACATTCCTGAAGCCAAGAGGAAATAATATTTTTAGCAATTTGCTAATTAAATAAGACTTTTACTTTATGGTACCGGTATTTGCAACACATTTACGTCATATAAGTGCAAAAGATTAGAGATTTTACAAGAGAGTAACAAACACAAAACAGAAGGAGAGACAAGGATGATAGGTTTTTAATTGGAAAGAAGGAAAAAACCACATCAGAGCACCCATCAACCACCCACACATTTTTAGTTAGAGATCTCATGTTCTGCTAAAGCCATATTATGTTATTACTCTACATACGATACATGCCCATGTTAATCTGGGTGCCATTCTTGGAAAACAATAATTGTATCAGGCAGTCAGAGACAGCTTGAATCGATAAATTACGGAATAATGATAACAAAACAAAGTATGGACTGACAATAAATAATTGAAACAAATGTTATGACTTTCTATGAAACAAATTATTTGTAAACTAACGAAATAGAGCAGAGACCATAATAAAACATAGAGGGAAAAACGTATACAGTCAAACCTGCCCTGAAGGCCACCTCTATAATACGGCCACCTGTACAAACGGCCACTTTCCACTTCCCCCTTGCATTTTTTCTATATAATTTAACTGTGTAAAACGGGCACCTGTCCAACGCGGCCGCGGCCACCATATTTTAACACACAACCCCTATCACACTAAGCAATAACACCTGTCTTAGACAGCCACCTCAGTGACTCCATTAAGTTTTGTCATAAATTGTGCATTGGCCCCTGGCGTTGTGGGCGAGCCGTCATAATTCAATCACCTGTCGTTGTTGTTAGGTAGTCCCCCTCCAACCGATCATGTCGCGTAGGCCTCTCCCACTGTTGACCAACAGGTACCCATTTTCAGCTGCTGGTGAGGTAAGCGTGTGATCCCTCATAACCCATAAGCCCCGCCCAGAACTCATACACAAATCGTAAGTGAGATTAGTGGTCACTGTTTACCTCGTCTGTAACAAAGTAACAATAGACGTCAACTTGCGACAGAAGCGTCGCTCGTACTCCGAGTGGTGGCGACCCATGTGTTGGTTTTAACATGGCACTCGGTCTTCCTTGTCTGATACATTTTGTTTTATTGCCACCTTTGCGCAAAATCAGCAACAAAATAAAATTACAAACAAAATAGAAACAGCAACAACAACAAAAACAACAACAATGCGGCCACTTTCTATTGGGACCTCAGACGGGAATGGTTTGTTTTCTTCATTTTGATCAGTCCTGCCTAAGACGGCCACCGGTCTTATACGGCAACTTTTCTCCTTGACAATGGGTGGCCGTCTTACACAGGTTTGACTGTATCACAAAGCACTTGAAGGGTATTACTGATAGGTTACAATCCTTCTTTCCACATTGTATGATCACTATCAATAGATGCTGATTAGTTTACCTGATGATAAAGGTTGTGGCATTCTTGGCACTCCACCAGTTGATTTCCAGAACTGACATCAAATTGCCTGGAATATTTTGAAAACATGATGCAATAACAATATTGAAGCTATAAAAGTCATACCAAGGTTCAAATAGAAAGAGGATGTATGAACACAAACGCCAGAAGTAGATTTGAAAGCATTTACAAAAATAGTATTAAGCAGTATCAAGAACAGAAAACATTAGAACTTTGAAATAGAAAGCATTATAATCTACAGTCAAACCTCGTTATACCACCAACATAGAAAGCATTATGAAAAATCTACAGTCAAACCTCGATAAACCACCAACATAGAAAACATTATGAATAATCTACAGTCATACATCATTATATCACCAACATAGAAAGCAATATGAATAATCTACAGTCAAACCTCGTTATACCACCAACATAGAAAGCATTAAAAATAATCTACAGTCAAACCTTGTTATACCACTACGATTGGGATGAGTATGAAGTTGGCAGAATAGCAAGGTTCACGAATTAATGGGATTCTAATGCTGTCCTCTGTTAACTTTTTGTTTCCAAGGGGGTAAACCCACTATGCCAGGGCCCTCTTTTGGTACAAAATCTAAAATTGACATATATATTATATATATAGACCATGCATCAAAATAACATTGAGCGTGTATCTAGCTTACGATTATTATTGTTTATATTGCTGCTCATTTATATTATGCATGTGATTGTAAGCCTACTTGTGTGTGCATGTGTGTGCACGTGTGTGTGTGTGTGCGTGTGTGTGTGAACTCGTGGTGGAACACCAAACCAATGTGCCAGGATCTGGACAATAAAGATGTATCTTATCTTATCTTATATGTCACAAAATTGGTCATTAAATCAAAACAAATGAACCTATTTCGATAGTTCTTTATCTAATGAATGAACTACCGGTAAAAAAGACTTGTTTTCTGCAATTGCTGAATAATAATTTGACGCCAAAGTCGACGTACAAGGACATTCTGACCGTGAGCCTCTGGGAGCAGCTTGCCGGAGATATAAGGAGTTAAGTTGCCCTGACTGCCAAACATTAAGGGAAATGAAGATGCTGTGTAATCTGTGTTTGAAAAGTGTCTTTTTGCAGGTGAATTACATATTCATGCATTTAGCTCTGAGAGTCTTTCATTCCCAGCAGAACCTTGCATACATTCAAATTGAAAATTTCTGGCGGATGAGTAGCTATGGTATATATGTGTCAAGGTCCCTGTGAATGTACATTATCTTTTATCTGATAACCATTAGTCCATGGACCCCCTCAGACCTGTCACTCGAGCGTGAGTCTTCATAAAATAAAAGCGTGACGGGCGCCTGCCAGCCTTGAGGTCATCAGGCTGATATCTGGCGACTCCAGATATTTTGCTGGCGGGTGGGGTGGGTAAGAGATCATTAAGCAGCCAAAGAGTGGGTGCCATGCATTGTATTTAAGTGTGTACCTCTGGTGGCCAATTTGTTGGTGGTATGGCTGGACAAATTAGCATTTGTACAAATACTATACTTAAACTTATATTGAGGCATTCCTTTTTGTATGTTGGCAAAACCTGGCAATAAGTGAAGTCGGTGGTATTACGGGGATGGTATTACAGGGTTTGACTGTGTGTGGTTGTCAGACCTTGGTTCCAAATGATCTCCTCCATCAGAATCAACCCCAACAATTTTGTATTGTAAGATACACAATATTTACTGTGGGACAATAAATTCAGAACAGCTTTGAACATGTGTAGAGTATGTACATTAGGTGCGGACACTTACCATAAAACACTCTATAAAGTTGGTAGTATTGACGATACAACGCTTCCGACTGGCCGAGGCGAGACACATTAGGCTTAAGCGCGGCCTTGCACGAAATAGTGTGGCTAAGGCATATTTGTGCGCCTTTATGAGACTTATAGTGTGTCACAAAATAGCACGTTAACGTGGCTCCATCTTCTGTCTGCGGCCAGTGTATACACCAACCATGGCCTGTGCATTTTGACCGCAGCCGTTTTTGTTTGCAGGTGGCCATCTCCGTAGTTCCACCAACGCGCTATCTTGCAACATTTTAGAGCATTACAAACAATGCAGGTTTAAATGCATCTTATGTTACAGGCAGTAAAGTATTATTCTCTTGTTGATCAAAACACTAAAGAGTGAACTTACGAGGTCTGTCTCAGAATAAAGTTTCCCTGTCATGCTGTCCTCACACATAATTATAACAACAGAAAGCTTATTCAAATACCTATTCAACGTAGGAACCGTCAAGTTCAAGACATTTCTCCACTTGATGTACCCAGCGGTCAAAAACAGTGGTCAGTGATCATTTGTCCAAGGTCCCGAGTGCTTTTCTCAAAGCCTCTTGAATCTGGTCCTTTTCCTCAAATCGTCGACCTCACAGGATTTCCTTAACCTTGGGGAAGAGATGGGAGTTGCATGGGGCGAGATTGGGCGAATAGGGCGGGTGTTCCAATAATTCCCACAAGCAGCCCTTAAGAAGCTCATTCACAACTCTGGACTTGTGAACAGGTGCGTTGTCACAATGCAGGATGACACCTTCTTCAAGCAAAGTGGGTCTTTTTACGGGACAGCTTGTCTTTGAGGACACACTTGTAGTGGTCACCATTGACAGTTATGCCAGGTGTGACTAGTCAGCTCAGTATGAATCCACTCATGTCGAAAAAAACAATATGCATCACCTTTCTCTCCCCGTGTTTTCTGTGAGCGCTTCATCTTTCATGTCAGACCTCCCACCTTCAACCTCCTTGATCCATTTCTTTACTGTTTGAATTGATGGGGCATTATTCCCTATTACTTTGTATCGATCACCATGGGTTGAAACTGTAGACTTGCCGAGAAGAGTTGAAAAATTGATCACAACTCGGACATTGTAGCATGAGAAGGTTGAATCAATGTTTTGCTAAGCCATTTTCCTAAAATTTGCCTTGGACAAAGTGCACAAGAACACCACACTTGACAAGTCACAGCTGTATGACCCGTTCACCAATGCACTTGCAATTTGGCTTTGAGATTTCTTAGATGTGTTGTCATGACGTCACAAAATTTATTTGCTGTTGGTGTGTATTTTTGATTTTATGGAGGAGGGAAACTTATTCTGAGACAGACCTCGTACCTTATAAAATAAAATTGATATCTCCAGAGTGCATGATGTTTGACCTTCTGATTCCCGCCAATGAAACAGGAAAAAGAAGTCAAACCAAGGGGATGTCACTGTTGGAAAGTTTTACAAACTCTTGACTGAAAAGATGTTGAACTTGTTTCATTTAATTTGGAGAAACGCCTTATGTACACCGGCCGCGGTATGGCTCACGTACTCTACATGATAGGTAAAATAAGACTCACAGGAGGATGGAACAACCTCTACTTACCGGCAAACCACACAAGCAATGCCCATCTCTCGGGCAAAGTCGCCTGCATCCATCTGAGAAGCTGGGCCGTCATCATCACTAAGGACAACAGCCTCAATCTCTGGCTTAGCAGAGCTTGCCTCCTTCTCTTTTCTCTCCTTCTCAGCTTTCTCTCTCTGTCGTTGAGCCTCTTTTTCATCCCGTTCTTTCTTTTCCTTTTCCTTCTTTGCTCTCTCCCTTTCTCTCTCTTTTTCTTTCGCCTCTTTTTCATCTTTACTTCTAGACTTTGAGGAATCTAGTTTTGACTTTTTCGAATCAGGTTCTGATGAGTCTTTAGAGTTCTGAAAGTAGATTCAACACAACTTGTTTCTTTAAGACTGACCAAACTGTTAGAAAAGAAAATGCTGAGTTGACTATAAGCTGTATATATGATAGAATAGGTGACTCACAATAATATTATTAACTCTCCTTCCAAGCACATTTGTCTGGAGTGATTTCCCCTGTCCCAGAAAATTGTGGAATTTTCACTATTTCCAGGTTAGAATTTGTATGCTGGGGTTCACCAATAAAAATTCCTCTCTGTCCACAGCTTATCAATTTCTTGCCATTGAACTTTTTGCATAAAAATGTTTAAAAAAAGAAACTTTAAACATCAAACAGGCTCTAAAATTCATAGCGGGAACATACATCCTGCAAATTTATGAAGACAAAGGTAAAACATCCCCAGAAATGGACAGATCATGTGGCAATAGAATTGGTACTCCTAGCATCTCTTAAATGTACAGGGTGATAAAAAAAAAACTGTACAAGTTTTTTTCTAAATATCGCAGACAAAAATTGTTCTCCACGGCTGTTCCACTCAGGATCACTTAGTTGCCGGCCGACCTGACCTCCAAGACGAGGTCACGCCCCGGTCACGCTACCTGCGGGTGCTCGGCCTCGCGGTCAGCGTTCCCCCGCGATGTAAAGTTTTGTACACATAAAGCAACACCAGTTCTTATGAAAGCCGAGAAAGTCAATGAAACAACAACCAAATGATCACATGAAGACGAAGGTGTAGTTTACGACAGTATAATTTTTATCACCGAGAAGTAAAAGAAAGGGTAGTTTAAAAGAGGGGGAATGTGGCTTTCATCATAGATTGGTTATTACAAACAAACATGTTAAAAAAGAATAATTAAAAATAAACGGACCGACGGATTTTTACAGTCTTCATTGTCAGCTCACAGTCAGACTTTGCACTTTCAAACACACTTACGTTTATGAGGTTCGGCCAAAAAGTCTTGTTGCTATTGTTGATTATTCACACAGTCTTGTCAATGAGTGGGAAAACAGTTGAGTCCAGCCAACGCACGCATACATTTCACATGAGATTGAAGACCGTTCTTTACACCTTCACAGCTAAACTGATGTTGCTATAGTAAATAATTTGATAGACATACTACTATAAAACTATTTAGGAACTTAGGTTTTATCCGTGAATAGTCTGAATGCGTTTTTCCACTGGCTCTTGGAGTGAGGCCTTCAAATCTGAAGATGTCTGTACTCGGTGTGCTTCCAACACAGCTTAAATTTGTTTTTTTAAAAAATGCCTACTGTTCTCTTTTCTACTCTGGCGATTGTGGCATGGAGCATCCCCCCCCCCCCCCTGTTTGCCCAGCATGCCAAGGCCAAAGCCCCAGGCTTTCACAAATGGCAGGCAATGGCACTCTAGCATGTGTATTTTTGGTGTCATTGTGTGAGGAAATAACTTGCGGAATAGTTTTAGACATGAATCGATGTCTGCGCTAATGGAAACGTGTTCTGACGGTAGTACAGAAGAAGCATCTGGGGTGGGGGTATCCATTATGCTCGCGGGGGACGGAGAAGGCAACTCATGTCCTTCTGTAAGCAAAGGAATGCGCTCTTTAATGCACCATTTGCTAAGTTTAACACAGTTAGCACACACAGAGCACTCGTTAATGCTTATGCTTGCGTCGTAAGCGGACCAGTAGTAGTAGTATAAGGTTTTACGGCGCTCGCAACTGCTAAGGTCATATGAGCGCGCGAAACACAAGTTGTTCACCTCTGCGAAAGTTCACTTCACGACTGGTAACTAATTTACTTTAAAATGCTAAAAAGTTAAAATATTCAAATTCGGTGTAAATACATTTGTGATCTAAAACAACTTTTAAGTAACAATAAAAATTTTAAATAATATCAGATTCACTTTACAACTCGCCATAAAGGCCAATGGCCTTTATAAAATTTAAAATTCTGCTGGGAACAACGACGGAGAAAATATCCTGCAATTTCTTGCATTTATAATATTTCCTTCGGATCTCTCCAAAGTCTAGACATTCTGTTAAAATGTGTCTAATGGTAAAATCTGTGTCGCATCCGACACAGAACGGCTTCTCCTCTCCCTGTAGGAGGTATTTGTGAGTCAGGGCCGTGTGTCCGATGCGCAATCGAGTAAAAATGACTTCGTCTCTTCTGGAGAGGTCCGAAGGATTTCGCTGTTCTAGTCTGGGTTTAATTTCATATAATTTATTATTTTTCTGGTTTTCCCAGTGGCTCTCCCACAGACTGGAGGTGTACTTTTTGACTTTATTTCTAAAGTCAGTCTGTGGGAGAGTGTTTGTCGTTGATCCCAGCAGAAGGGATGAAGCTTTCTTCGCCAGGTCGTCTACCTGCTCGTTTCCTCGGATGCCCACATGGCTGGGGATCCATGCGAACATGATGTTTTTTCCTGTTTCGGATAGTGTATGGATTTTCTGTTGTAGCCTAACTATTTTTGGGTGTAAGAGTGTGTAGTTTGTGAGTGAGGTGATGCAAGACAGAGAGTCAGAAAGGATAAGGAAAGATTTGTTAGGAGAATTTTCTACAGAGTCCAGTGCCATGTCAATGGCAGTGGCCTCCGCAGTGAAAATGGAGGCTTCAGGATGGAGTCTCCTCTGGTGTGTATTGTTGGGAGATAGGGCTGCGGCGCCCACTTCATTGTCTTTTTTGGAGCCATCCGTGAAGATGAGCTCCGCACCGGGGTATTTATCTATTAGTTTTTTGTATTCTGCTTGAAAAGTTTTGGTGTTTGTGCTTTCTTTGTTGTGTGTGGTCAGCTGTAAATCTACTTTTGCCTTGGTGAGGTGCCACGGAGGGAGGTCGGGGAAAAGAATTTGTTGGATGTCTTGTTTGGAAAAGTGTAAGTTTTTGAGGTCCTCGAGGATTCTGAGGCCGAAAGGTTTGATGAGTTTTTCGTTGTTTTGGAATCTGTTTCTGGTTTCTGGATTTGTTTGAAAAATGCTGTTGTGCGCTGGATTTTCCGGTGTTGAGCTCTGTTTAACTGCGTATTGTAGTGAGAGTTGTGTGCGTCTGAGTGAGAGTGGTGGAATGTTGGCCTCGGCCTGGAGGCTCTCCACCGGAGAAGTGCGGAAAGCCCCCAGAGCGAGGCGGAGTCCTTGGTTCTGTATTGGATCTAGTATTTTTAAGACGTGTGGTTTTGCTGATCCGTAGACTTGACAGCCGTAGTCAAGCCTGGATCGGACAAGGGAGATGTACAAGTGGAGAAGGTGTTTTGAGTCCCCGCCCCACTCCGGATGTGATAGAATTTTCAAAGCGTTTAACGCTTTCTGGCACCTCACACGAAGGTCTTTGATGTGTGGTATGAATGTAAGTTTTTTGTCGAAAATGACACCGAGGAAACGAGCTTGGTCCTGGACGGGAATCCTTTCCCCGTATAGTGTCAAATCCGGCTGCAGCACACGTCTGCCTGTTCGGCAGAAGTGTACTGCAACCGTCTTTGACGGGGAGAACTTGAAACCGTTGTTGTTTGCCCACGTTTCAAGTTTTTGCAGCTGCGTTTGCAGCTGCCTTTCCATAGATCTCAAATGAGGATTTTTCGATCGGCAGCATATCAAGAAGTCGTCAACGTATAACGAGCTGTCTATGCTGTTCTGGAGGGTTTTCACTATGGAGTTAATTTTAATTTCGAAAAGGAGAGGAGAAAGGATGCTCCCCTGGGGGACTCCTTCCTCCTGTTGGTGGGGGTCTGAAAGGGAGGATCCGACACGAACCTGGAAGGAACGGTTCTTCAGGAAGTTGCCAATGAAGGCAGGGAGGTGACCGCGTATGCCGAGTGCGTGCAGGTCTCGAAGAATGCCGTACTTCCAGGTTGTGTCGAAGGCTTTTTCTAGGTCAAAAAAGATGGCGATCATGTGGCCTCTTTCAGCGAACGTCTCGCGTATAAAGGTCTCCAGGCGGACCAGGTGATCCAGAGTGGATCAGGTTTTCCTGAATCCGCACTGGAGACCGCTCAGCGAGCCCGTCGTTTCTAGAAACCACATGAGTCGCCTGTGAATCATTTTTTCAATTAGTTTGCAGAGACAGCTCGTTAGGGCTATAGGTCTGTAATTGGATGGGTGTGTGTGGTCTTTGTTAGGTTTGGGTATTGGAATGACAGTGGCGAGACGCCAAGACTCCGGAAAGGAGTGCGACCGCCACATGTCGTTGTATATGTGTAATAGGAGTGTGAGTGTTTCTGAGGGTAAGTGTCTAATGATCTTGTTGTGGATGTCATCCGGTCCCGGGGCTGTATCGCCCAGGTCCGAGATGCACGATGTTAATTCGTCTATTGTGAAGTCTGCGTTGTAGGTTTCAGTGTTGTTTGAGTGGAAGTTTAGGTGTTGTTTTTCTCTGTTAGTTTTGACGTTTTGAAAAGTGGTGTTGTAGTTTGCTTGGGATGAGTTTTTGGCTAGAGATGTAGCTATTGTGTTTGCAATGTCTACTTGTGTTTCAGCTGTTGTTCCATCCGGCCTCTGGACGTGCCGAATGGTGTCTGTGCGTCTACCTAAGAATTTTTTAGCAATTTGGAAAACTTGATTGAGTGGTGTCTGGCTGTTGATTTTGGAGATGTACTTTTGGAATGATTGTCTTTTGCTCTCCCTGAGGCATCTACGTGCCTCAGCTCGAGCCTTTAAATAAAGTATCTTATTTTCTATGGTGGTGTTGTTGACGGCTCTTCGATACGCTGCCTTCTTTTTCTTTACTGCGTCCTCACATTCCCAAGAGAACCAGACCTTGTTCCTCCGGGGTTTTGTTTTTGTTTTTGGAATGTGATTGTGGCATATTTCTAAGAGTTTTTCGTGAAATTTATTGTAGTTGTGGTCGAAATTGGGATTAAGAATCTTGGAACATTGATTGGCAAACCCGTCCCAGTCGGCTTTTTTGAAGTTGAAGCGTTCTGGGATCGGGTCGTTTTGGAGGCTATTGTTTTTGAGGAGAATTGGGAAATGGTCCGTACGGTCATCCAGCACAGACCACTCAAGATCTGGGACTAGTTCAGGGGTACAAAAAGTAAGGTCAAGGGATGAAGTGCCATAAGTGGCTCTGTTTCTGTAAGTTGGGGATTTATCATTTAAGAGACAGATGTTATTTTGAAATAAAAAGTTTTCTATTATTTTACCTTTCTGGTCTATAGGTTTGTCTCCCCAAAGGGGGCTGTGGGCATTGAAATCACCTAGTAAAATAAAGGGTTTTGGGAGCTGGGACTTTAAGTCATTTAGTTGGGTTATTTTGAGGGGGTAATTTGGTGGGATGTAAACTGAGCAGATCGTGATTGGTCTGTGCAGGGTGACCCGTACGGCAATAGCCTGGAGGGTCGTCTTAAGATGTACTTGTCTGTGGAGTGTGTGGTTGTCGGTGTAGATGGTGGTACCACCGGAAGCAATCTGGTTCTCCGTGTGAATGTGATGGTACGCAGTAAATCCTCTTAAGTCTATGGTTGAAGCCGGGGCGAATTTTGTTTCTTGAATACAGGCCACCCGTGGGCACAGTGTGGCCTGTAAATGTTGCAATTCTGCAATGGAAGGTCGGATTCCGCCGGCATTCCATTGCAGGACCGCCATTATGAATTTTTACTTTTTGATTTGGAGCACTTAGGCCCCGGCTTCGAAGAAGCACTCTGACTCCTCCTTACGGGGGAGGCAGAGTGTTTTCTAGGTTGCCGTCCTGGATTGGACGGCGGTCTAGTGGGGGATTTGGAGGAGTGACAGACTCCGCCCTTCCCGGGTTCAGGCCGGGGAGGGGGGTCGGAGATGTCTTCCTCCATAGGCAGGGGTTTGTCTGCTGGAGGGGTAGGGGGAGGTGGAGCAGACCGAGGGGACTGGGAAGGGGGGGGAGGGGGCTGGGGGGAGGGGAGAAGGCCCACCTCACACTCCATCAGAGGGATGAAGAGGAAGAAGAAGAAGAAGAAGAAGAAGAAGAAGAAGAAGAAGAAGAAGAAATGATAGAAGAGGGGTGAGGGGGAGAAGAGGGGGCGGAGGAAGAGTCCTCCCCGTCCTCCCCTAGAACCCCATAGCTGTTAGAGAGTGGCACCTCAAAGGGGGGTGCCACAGGGATAGTAGCGGGCTTTTTATTTCTGGTGTTCTTTGGCACAGAGACTTGCCTGTTGACCGCGGGCTTTGGGAGGTCGGTAGTAGAATTACTTGCCGACCTCATGACCATCTGGGTTGCCATTGAATATGACCGGCCAATGACTGGGGTTGTGATTGGCGGGCAGACAACCTTACGGGCCTCCTGGAAGGAGCAGCCATTTCGCGCCTTGTATTCTTGGATGGCGCGTTCTTGGAGCCAAGTCGGGCACTCCTTGCTGAAAGCTGTGTGCTGGCCGTGGCAATTGGGGCAACAAGGACTAGCCTTGCATTCCTTCTCAGGATGCCCGGTCTTGCCACAACGAGGACACACGGCTGCGTGACGGCATCGTGACTGGCTATGGCCGAACTTCTGACACTTGAAACAGCGCAGAGGGTTCGGCACATAGGGTCGTACGTCGAGTACCAAGTAAGATGCCCGAACGGTGGCTGGAGGGCGACACGATTCGAATGTTAGGACAATCGTGTTCGTCTCGATAGTAGTCTCCCCCCGCCGAAGAGTAATCCGGCGGGCTTCGACCACTCCCTCACAGTGCTCCACAATCTCTTCCATGGAGCAGCCTTTCAGCTCATGGCTGCGGACCACGCCCTTCGAGCGGTTAAATTTTTGGTAGTGCTCTGACTTACATTGAATACCGCCGAAGGTCGTGGTATCCAGGAGTTTGGTCACTTCGATCTCGGTTGCGCACTTGACAAGGAGTGCACCACAGGAAAGCTTCTGTACACATGTGGGAATGTATCCCAGAACTTTCCGTAGTGCATCTCCTGTCTTAAAGAGGTTGAGATCTGTAATTCTTCTCTGTGCGTCTTTGGTACTGGAGATGGCCACGTACGGTTGCCTCAGAAGCTCCTTGGGAGGAGGGAGGAAAGAGGCATCGGTAAAGGTCCTTTTACCTTTTTTTGAGTTTTTGCTCGGCTCGGCGGCCGCACCCGCTTCCGCGAGCCGAGACTTTTTAACGTTGGGAGCTGGGGAAGGGTCTTTTTGTTTTTTTGAATCCATGAAAGTTTTCTATTTGATTCGACTCCGGGGCTCCCCGCCCGCCACGGAGCCCAACAAGGGGACACATAGCTCGGATATCCAGAGCTGTGCCAGGGCTACCCCGGAGCTATACTCTCAACGAGAAAGTACGAGACCCTCCCGTCAAGATTGACCCAGGACTTGATGGGGTTTCAGCTCTCAACCGATTGAGTGGCATGGGCCGTGCCACCCTCCCGTCTAAGAGGAAAACCTGGGCCAAAGAGGTGTGTTGGTGAGGGACAGTCCGTGGACTGATCTCACCTCAACCGCCAGGTACCCGGTTTCCCTCCGCACGGGTCGCACCTCACGGTCAACGAGGCGCCCACTCTGTGGGATGGGTGACCTCTCTTTTTTCTGCACTTGAGGTCAGCGGTGGGAGGAAAGATAGAAGAAGAAAGAAAGAAGGAAGGAGAAGAGGAGGATACACCAAAGTAAGTGTCGCACACGGATCCCAGAGGGTTGGGGTCCGTGTGCGACACTCCGCCTTTGAAGGGGTTGCACCTTCTGCAGACGAAGCAGTGGGTCTATTTATATCCCCCCGACCCACTGGGGGTATAAGCGGACCAAACATAGGCACTGTCTTCTACACATTTCTGTGCTGCCTTCAAAGTTGTATTTGTAATTTGCTTCCGTAGTGTGCATATTCGCGAGCCACATTTCTCACACAGAGTGATGGAATGCTTGTCAGCTGTGTCGTTGTCAATGTTCAGTCTATAATATTGCAATAAGTCAGACTTAAAGTTTTTACACAAAAATTGACGCTGCTTAGGAACTTTAGTTTTTAAACTTCTTCCATCACAAGTATGACACAACTTGTTTAGATTCTCAAAGTAGATGTTATAAGACTGTTCCATCTTTGATGTTACAAGGCTCTATAATTATAAACACACAAGAAAGTCAGACGGCAAGTTCCCGCTTCACAGAGATTTTCTTTGTACCGAGCGTTGTACTAGACTAGTCACATAAAGTGCGCTAGTTCATGTAAATTTACCTCGTACCCTGAGATTTTTCACCACAATGGAGAGAATAGATTTATAAAAAGAAATATGAAGGTTAAAACAAAAATTGTTGGTTTGAATTATTAAAATCCGCTTTAAAATCCAAAAAAATTCATTAGCACAGAGCAGTACAACAGTGGTAGTATATAAGTATCCCAAGGGAATATAAAACGAGATAGAAACTGGTTTCAAACTGCGGGTTATAGAGGAGATGCTGAGCTTTTATTTGGTATATAACACCCCTAGTTTTACGGGATGGAGAAAGGGAGTACTATGCTGTAAATTCCAGTTAATATCTAGAAATTGTATCCTTTCCATGCGGAGCGGTCAGATCAAAGGATAGGCCGGTGGAAGTGGCGTAAGGCGTCAAGATTTATTACCTTCCGCGAGGGGGTCACAGGGGTCAGAAGGGTCAGACGGGCTACAACTAAGTGCGCCTCTCGAAGAGTGAAACTGAACAGCCGTGTCTAGAATGCTGTTATTTCGAACATACATAATTCATTCAAAAGGAATTTGTTTGACATAAAATACATGAAGAAGAAATTTATTTTGAAAATGGAAATCGTTTGAAGAAAAAAGCACCCAAAAACGAAAAGTTCACCAATTTTTTAAAATCTTATAAAGGAAGTCGAGAAATTATAGGATGATTTTTAACAAAGTTTTCTCTTTGACATTTAGTTTCCCATCCCTGTAACAGTTAAACAATATTTCAGGTCTTTTACAGAGTTAAAAAAAACTAACGATTTCATTCTGGAATTCCTAGAAGCAGTGCTCTACGTGCCCTCCTTTGGATTCGACACATGTTTAACTTAACACGTCGTTCGAAATGTTCAAAGGCGCCCACACACAAGGACCTGCTAAACCATGAGTGTTTAAAGCCACATACGCTACATATGTCAGTATGAAGTGGCTTCTAGAGACAATAGGGAGTGAGGTGCCCAAATCAACAGAATTTTTGGAGTTAACATATCCCGCAGGGTGAAAATGGGCTTTGCACTACACCATATATGTCATCGAAGAAATTATCCTGCTTTTCAAGACAATCGAAGAATCATGAACTAATTGCCATGCTCTGGCCCATGTCATCTCAGAAAATGGTAGTTGTAGGTTAAGATCTGCCATGAGAATGCAGACTGTTGAGGTGTAGGAAAGTCCTATCTGCAGATCGTCTTCGGACAGACGTCTTATGGGACTCGACTACTGAAATCTGCACCATGGTGACGTTTAAAGGGCTGCCCATGGTGCGTGTTCGACCTGAAGTGGTCAATTTAAAGGAACTTTTTAGTTCTGATTCGCTATCGATCAAAACTGACGGAACTTCCCTACTCATGACACGAATGGTCTTAGGGTCACCAAAGCATTCTTTCCATGCCATGCACAAAAATTACAAAATGTCAGGGACGGTGACTTTGTAAAGAGGTAATGTTTGATACAAAAAGCTCTCTGGTCTGTACTAAACTTAACCATGATCTCAGCAGGCAAACAAAATTTGGGAAAAATAGTATCTGCAGACTTCTGTTGACTTGTTAGACAGCTGTAGCTTGCAATATAACGCGATTGTTGCAACTTTTAGTGGTAGGCCTAATGCGAACTGGAACGTCATGCTACGAAAAAGGAAACAAGGTTGAAAATGGGTTGTTTTTTTAATGTGCTGTAAAAAGCAAAACCATTCAATGGACTTATCTAAAACGAATAGTAGACAAATTCCTTTTGGCTTCCAAATATTTAGTTCAAATCTGAAACACAATACTTCAGTATGGAGGTACATATATTTACAAAAAAAGCTGTATAGTTTTTGTTGGGTCACCCTGTATTCTGATGACCATACCCTTTGACACATAATAGTACAGTACCTTGTCAGATGAACGTTTTTCAACTTCTCTTTTCTTGGAGTCCTCTTCAGTCTTGGACTTCCCAGATATTGCTTTCTCAAAATCTGAGAGCGCTGATGGAGCCTGAGGTGGAAATTAGTTTTGCAATATAATGTATTGTATATGGAGGGGATTTTCCAAACTAGGAAATGGAGAAAAAGTATCAGGACTTAATAAAATAATAAAATCAGCATTTGAAAAGTCAAGACCTGGTCAAACCGTAACAACATCACCACATCCTACAACTACAATTACGACCTGTGCGCACATGTATGTGGATCAGGGGATAAGTGGGTGGTGCAACTTTTAAATATGATCCCCCCCCCCCCCATCAGAAAATTCAGTTTGCAGTAACACCCGCCTAGCACCAAGACTTGCTTCTAAAAAGCATTGTGCTGTGATGGAGACACTACTGAACTGAGATTCATTAGAAAAGGAGAGTTGTAAAACAAGGAAATCCGCTTGTAATTCAAGCCGGTCAATTGCAGTAAATCATTAACCATTTAGCTTTTGGAGATTTGTCCTGATACATTTCCCGCTGAAATCCTGGAAAAGGAAGATAATTTTAAAAATATACGTGTGTTTTAAAAATAAATTAATGAAATAAAATTTTCTTTAACAAATGATCGGGGGAAAAGGCAACAATGTTAGGATTAGGAAAAGAATACTGCTTCCAACGAGCCAGTTTCCATGGTGGTACAGTATATATGCAGGTTATTTTTTCTCCTATCATATTTGTGAATATCCGGTTTTCATTCGTTACCCATTTATTTAATTGAATAATAAAATAAACCAGCGCCTCAAAAACCCCCCCAACAATATCGCGGTAGACCAAGAAATGAACACTTAACATGTATTTGTTTGGTCAAGATAGCTTCACGGGCTGAATTTTTATGTTATTTCCAAACTTTCCTTGGATATGCCCAGGTATCAACTCCATTGCACCCCCCATTTTATCAAATTTTCTTTTAAAATGTACATACACACGCATTATTTCTGGGTCAATTTCGACCATTCAAAACCTCAAAGAAAGAATAAGAATTCTACTTTTAAATTGCCTCTTTTTCTGCCAATTCTCATCGGACATTATTCCTAGACCTCATAGAAATGCATACCACAGCAGGTTTGCACGTTCAGCAATTGAAACGCCGTGCAACTTGCTCTAGGAGCAAATCGATAGACTCTGTGCAATGCCTCTCTAGGTGTTAAATGGTTAACGTTAACTGAAGTATGCAGAGGGCACTTGGAAGTGTAGTTGGAAAACCCTACTACTTCTACTAGCAATGCACACGATAGCTGTACCTCTTTGTTCTTCCTTCAGACCATCCGGCCAAACTCTCCTTTGTCTAGGCCCAACTCTTGGTAGGCATTCTTTCATTATCAATTAAACGGTATAATATGGCTCGGTGCACTTAACTACAGCATTCAGAAAAAAATCAGTCAACAATGCTCAGAAATATGCTAGTCGATGTTATATATATCAAACCACTCCGACGCACAGTGCCACAGGTGCTCTGTACCCCTTACTAAAAGTTTTTTCATCCATCCCACCCCCACCCCTTTCCTCAAAGTCAAATGATATAAAGCAGGCAGAAAACAGGTTAATCCTCCTCACCATCTATATATATATATTGCTTGGATTACAGCAGTGAACAAACCTTGAGTCCTTTCCTCTGTGCGATTGCATCATCCAGCATGAATTTCAGTTGAGCTGTGCTATCCTTTGCTTTAGAATGTAGCAATTTCAGAGCTTTAACAAACACAGGGTCCAGTTCAACAACAGCCATCCCTGAAATGCTATAAAAATTATAACAAAAGTTCAAATTTAAATGTGAGTACTAAAGTTCTACCAGAAATAAAGTCAGTGTATTCAGGTCATACCATAATTATTTATTGTCAAATACACCTTGGTAAAATCACTTGACCACAGATTTGGGGAGAGTGACAACTAGTTACGAGAGAGAGAGAGAGAGAGAGAGAGAGAGAGAG